AGGTGTAAAACTACTGCAGTGGTTAACAAGAAATAGAAACAAATGGGAAAACAGGTTAGGTAGTTTTGTATAACTTCCCTGTAAAATATAGAATGGGAGAATTCATTCAGAGTCATAAAATATTGCTGGAGAATTTAGCTCTAGTAATTGTAGGTAAAATTTAGACATACCACTTTCCTATGTAAAAATAACTCTTGTTTCAGAATAAGTGGGATAACTTTTTCTGTTTTTCTGTTCATATTCCAGTTCTATACTCTGAAAAAATTAAATAAAAGGTGCTTCTTATCTTCTGGATGTTTGTTCTGGATGTTTGTTGTTCAGAATCAAATGCCTTCTTTCCTCAATGCACATGCTAAAATTGTGATACTTATGTTCGCTGGGGCGAATCCAGATGGACAAAATAGAATACTATAATACATGTGTTGATAGAGTAATTGTCTTTCAAAAGAGAACCAAGAGAAAGAGGCATGAGCAATTTGCAACACATTTTTTCCTTTTTCCTGCTTGAAAACACCAGTAATGGCAACTTCAGGAGATGGGGAAGTCACTGTTCCTCGTCTATACTCAGCAAGTTTGTAGTTAAATGGAATATGTCAGGAATTGAGGAAAAAGAAATAGTGATCAAACTGCTTTGGAGCTGGAACCCTGTGTTCCTCACCATGATTTATATTTCCTTAATTGCCTACAATATTTTCAGATTCGTTGTGTAATCCGGAAGAGTTGCATGGCAGCCCTTGAGAAGGCCGATGGATATTTCATGCCTGTTTCTATTCTGAATTTAGTACCAAAACTTTTTCCCAATGCTATAGAAGTTTGGTAGATGACTTAGGAAACCCCTTGACTTGTGAAATGCTGGACTTACAGGTGGTGTCTGCCTTTGATTTTTGCAGTCGAAGTTCAGGCAGAAAGGCTGTTTTCTGTAACTGGTTGAGGGGGAGAGAAGAATGCCTGTAGTGCAGCTGCCATAAAAGAAATTTTGGAGGCACCTGTTCCTGAATGTTGATAGTGCTGCAAAGTGCATGTCTGGCCAGCTTTACTTGCCATCTGCATTATGCTCATTTTCATTTTTCTATATCTGACTTAAACTCTCCTTTTTGTTTCTCTTCACCTTTAAAGCACAAACATAAACCATCCTTGCTACAGCCTAGAACAGTTAAGTAAACTCTTCACTGCCCCTTAAGTGTCTTGTCCCATGAAATAGCAGTGTTGTAGTGACCCTTGTCATCAGTGGTGTTTGTAAAATATAACCATACTTGTGATCAGTGCTGAACTTCATAAGTTCATCTCATTGCTTTTTTCCCCCCCTTACTCTGTGGGAGTAGTTTTCTTCCTTTTCCCTTCCCCATAAGTAGGTCTGCTTTATTGCATTTGCTTGTGTTCAGAGCTCACAGTCTACTTCGATTAGCTCCAGAAAATAATTTTTCTATTTGTGAGCAAGGTAGCAGAATGCTAGTATTGAAGGGACAATACTTGTGGTGATGTCACTAAGCACAAAATGTGCAGATGAAGAAGCAGATTTCTCCTTGGCCTTTCTCCTTCAGTCTTCCTTGCTCCAGCCTTTAGGTCCATAGCATTTTCAAGCATAAGGGCTATGACTTCTTTTCTTTCATGCTAATTTCTGCTATCTCTCAGCAGCATTGAAAATAGCGTTCCAGTTTCATGTTATAGTTTGTAAAAATTGAAAACTACTAAGAAGGCAACTGAATACCAATCTTAGCATACCATACCAACCGATTACTTCTACTAGTATCCATAGGATCATTGGCGATGGCCTTATATAGAATTAAATGGAGATCCTTCAAACTTAGTGTCATTCAGATCTGACTCCTAATAGCTCTCCGAAGTTTCAGATTGGAATCTCTTTTTCTCTCTCTTTTTTTTTTTTTTGCCCTGTATGGAAATGCTCGGGATTGCACCTGGAACCTTCTGCATGGATTACACATGCTCTGCCATTGTATTGTGGATCTTCTAATTTATACTGTATGCAGAACTCTGTGGGTAATGAGATTGTGTGCCATTGTCAAATTTGCACATTACACAGACTCAGGTTATGCATCTGTACAGTTGATTCTCAACAAACCCATTCTCCTCAGCCTTGTACACTATATAAGGTTGAGATTACTCTTCCCTGTTAAACCAAGCATACATATACTCCGACACTTGACTTAGCACCTCTCTGTTCACCTGGGTCTTGATTACTGCCCCTTCCATAATTTGAAGGTCTAAAAAGAGTGGATTGGAAATTTTACCCTACTTTGAGTGATGGTGATGATTTTACAAATAATTAGGAAGCAACTGATGGGAAAATGGGCGGGAGTCCTATTTCGTTGAAATGAAACATGGTGTTGCATTATTTCTAGGGCAGCTGAAGAAGTCTTTGTGAATGATGTTGATGACTCATCTCCTGGCACCGAGTGGGAACGTGTGGCTCGGCTCTGTGACTTTAACCCCAAGTCGAGCAAGCAGGCGAAAGATGTGTCCCGCATGCGCTCAGTGCTGATTTCGCTCAAGCAGGCCCCGCTGGTTCGCTGAAGGGAAAGCACAACCTACACTACAAATGCAATATCTAACTTTACTCAGAGAAGCTGTGTTTGCAGTAATTGGATTAATTATGTTTAAATGTTTTTTGTTGTTTTTGTTTTTGGACCAAACCTCACGATGTATTTAGAGTTTGATCATTGTTCTGTGATTGCATGTTTCTCCTCTGTGTCCTCCTGGTGTCCAAACTGGGAGAAAGCTTCCAGAACTGTAGTCTCTATGCTCCTCCTCTTATGCATTGGGATTTGACTTTCAAATGTACCAATATTAAAGGTCTGTTTAAATTGCACTGTTGTGTGGGAATATTAAAAAGCCGAAGAAACTTTACTCATTTAAAAGGATTCTGTTGTGCTAGCTACAAATAGTTGGGAATATAATGGCTGAAAATTATATTTTCAAAAACAGAAAAATTACTGTTTTTCCCCCCAGTTATCCCTTGCACTATAGTATAACATTTCCAAACCGGGAATATTTATTTAACTATTTATTCGCAAGATTTAAATGGCCACCTACTTCATACAATGACCTGAGGCAGTTCACCATTCATTCATTCTGAACTTTATATAGCTGCCCATGTCAAAAAAAAAAAAACAATTCTGGGCACCACATAATAAAACAATGACACATAAAAAAACTATTCAAGAAAATTTTACAGGAGATCACCAAATGTCAACCACCATGGAGCCACCTCAGTACTTCGCTGGTATCGTGGGGTCCCCAGGTCTGATGGCATAACCAGGTTTTGAGGTTTTGATTTTATGGAAAATCAATAGGGATGAAGCCAACTTCACTCGGGGGGGCGGGGATTCCATAAAGTGGGCACCATGGCAGGAAAAAGCCCACCTCCTGGATCCTGCCATGTGTAGCTCCCTAGCATATGGGATTGGGAAGACGCAGTCCTTCTAATAACCCAGCCTCATGCCATGAAGGTAAGTCAAAACCAGAATGTTGAATTGAATCCATTTAAAAAAAAATAGTTTGAAACAAATGTATCCTTTCCCCAAGGGCTAGACGACTCTTCCTCAAGTTCTACCTCCATTCTAGCTTTTGGGAGAAGAGCCAGATATTCACAGCCCTCAGGAAAGGATCCTTGGGATGGGAGGCTCTTCTAAAGGACTGGGGCAGTCATTGAGAAGGTACACATCTGAGGTCCTATCAGATGGCAGGGCTTAAAGGAGGGGACCTGGAACATATCCACCTATTTAACCTAGGACAGGCAGATGGCATTTGGGAGATGTGATTCTGTAGCTAACCTAGCCCTGAACCATGCAGGACTTTAAAAATATTCTTCAGGTATGTTGATCAGTTCTATAACTTTTCAGCAAGCATGGCTAGTGCTAGGAATTCTGGGAATTGAGGTTTTTACATCTGAGAGTGCCCAGTGTAGGGAAGGATATATACTATATCAGGTAACATAATTTGTATTCCTAGAAGTTATTTAATTCCATCAAAGACTGAAACGGGATTATGGTTTGTCTTGAATATCAGTCACGCTTCTTCAAAAAGCATTTTTCCCCACACTCAAATTTTTTGTAGCTAGCTTGATGAGTTCCAAAGAATCAAATCCTGCAATTGCAAAATATATGTTGCTATAAGATTGAAGTTTTAATTACAAAAAAAATCATATTTTTAACACACATTTAAGTGATATATGCATATTTTAGTCAAATTTTACCCAAAATACATAAGAAGAATGTCTTTTTTCTATACCACAAAAAGCAGTATCTTTTGTTGCTCCATTTTGTCATATTCTCTGCACCTGTGCTTTTAATTTAAAATTACAATGTCAAGTATTGAAGCCTGTTTTGAGACTTGTATTATCCTTTCCTCCTGGTTTAACTTGGAATTGTGTTCTTGAATACTTTTACAGCTAGACTTTATGGGAGTAAAATTGACAGAACATGGGTCTAACAGGTTTATAAGAGATTGTTTTTAAAGAAAGGGATTGTTCCTGATAATGAAGAGTGAGAAAACCTAGAATCTGATGAGAGTATCAGGTTTTAGACACTGAGGATAAGGGATATATTCCTACAGTAGCTGCTTCTAAAACAGCATTAAGTAGAAGTGAATAGTTCAGGAAGCTATATTTTATACAATTCTTAAGTATGCAAAACCTTTGAAACAAAAAAAAATACTTTCTGGATAGTTGATTAAAGTTATTGGCCAAGCAGTTAACATTATTCACAAAAGTTGTGAACTGTTATTACATCATAGCTGGGGTTTATTAATAAGCTTGCTTTTCAGATTCCTTGAAGAGCAACAGAGCCATTTCCAGAGAATTAGAAATAAACTTTGTAGAATTAATCTTGATCTAAAAGTACTGATTACGCTATCAGGTGTCTTCTGGTTTTGGCTTTAATTTCAGGAATTTTATAGTAGTGAGCTATGATAAAATCATGCAGATGTGATGTTTCTCAAACTAATAGCTAAATAAATAAATAATATACTTAATGGAAACTTGATACATACATAATTTTTATTTTTATTTGAATCTTTGATATTTAGCTTGAAGTCACTTAGATCTATTTGTCAACATTTACACAAAGAACAGAATGCACAGAACTAATTGTTTTAATAAAAAGGCAACAGAGAAAACCTTATTTTTCATGCCAACAAGAAATAGAAAAGTACCAAATTTCAACATTTGATTTTATTTTTATACATGTAACATAGGCAGATGTAAAAATATCCTCCTTTCCCAATTAAAAAAAAGTTATGCAGGAGCTATGCTGAGCTAAATAGCAAATATTAAGATCAATATTCAATTAAAAACAATTTTGCTTTTAAAGTTAATACTATTGGGACACTTGAACATTTTATTTTTCACTGGTGTGTATCAAATTATGAATATACAGTTGAGCCAACACTTCTTTTTTCAAATTTAATAAAGCAGGCAAAGAGCCTGTTAAAAATTCAGTACTAACGAATGAAAACATGACTAATCACATAAAATGTTACTTAACCACATAAACACATCTGCATCATAATTTAGAGGTGCAGCAATGCCCTTTGTCGGTGATAAGATTTATCTGCTAGATTACCAATTAAAGATATGGTATCTTTCATACTGAGGCTAATATGCTGGGGCATTCTGGGAATTAGACAGTATAGTATGTTATCTTGGGATGGGTGCTTTAGGAATTTATGTCCTCCCAATGATTGGCAGATCATTGCTCAGAGATCAATACCAATTAAAAAATGTGCAAGTCTCACCAGAAGTAAATTGAAGTCACAACAGCCCACCTGCACTTTATCATTATTTAATGCTGAACTTGGATGTTCCCTTCATGGTTTATAGAAGCCAAGTGAGCACAGCACTACATTTCTTTTCCGTTCCATCCAATACCAAACTATAACCCAAAAAAATCCCAAAAATGACAGCTTCACTATTTTGAGATAACTTGTTAGTATGCACAAAAATAAAGAACTTGTCTTTTCCAAAAGCATTGAATATTTAAAGCAGTTGAACATTATTTGGAGAAGAAACTGGCTTGATGAAACTCCTACCAATTTACTAAGTGGCTTTCAAGGAGGCATGGAAAGTCAAATCTGTTTCTATAAGTCCATTCTGCTGCATCCCTTGCCTAAATATCCCAACCCTGAGCTTAACTGCACAAGCAACTCATTCAGGTAAGAAACGGGCATAATCCCAATCAATAAATTTTGGTGGTAGTTTCAATGCAATCAATTTTTCATTTTTTAGCAATTGTAATAATTGCGGAGAGAAGGGTGACTAAAATTTCTTCCCCAAAATCACTCTTCAGGGGTGCAGTTGCAATTTGAGCAAGCCTTAAATGTTAGCAATCTGTTCCAGTCTGAAAGCTATAGGTGATGTGGGAACGGGATTTTCCAGTCATTCATTTTTCTTCAGACTATTGTCTTTGTTTTTATCCCGCTTGCCTAACTGAACAAAAGTGACAGCAAAAATAACCTCGTGTTTTCTAATTTCATACAGGAAAACAGATTTAGTGCACTTAACTGAAAACTAAGTTGTGTATTTTGCAAAATGCTTTGAACTCCAAAGCTTCCTTCAAAGTAGTTCTTTCAGAATGAAAAGAATGGACCCTCTTCATTTAAATTTAACCCTTTGCTACAGTATTTATATTAATGGCTCAATTGCTTGCAACTCGCTCCCATAGTTCAACGCAGCTAAGGTCTGGAAAATTCCCTTGTTTTATAATTCCAGGATGATAATGGAAATGAAGTTTACTGAAAGTTTACTCAATGCTTAGAAGGTTGTTTGGTTTGGGGCAGAATTTTAATCAATGTTTTAATATTGTAATATGTAAAATTTTATTTTAATATACTGCATAATAATTTTCAGAATAGGATATATAGGGAAAGGTAAATATTCCTTTGAACTAGAACAACATGTATGGCATTTGACATATTAGAGCCAGCAAAAAGAACCAAAAATATTGGAGAAGGAGCTCAAACTTTCATATAGAAATCTGTCCTACTTTGTTTCGCATGGATAACTTCACACCCTGTATTTTCAAAATTCAATTATTTACGGTAATTCATTATTACAAATGTTCAGGCAGTGACTGTTTTCCTTATATTATTAGACTGAGGAGTCATAAAATCCTAGCACAAACACATTTGTCAGACATCTAATTTCTTTTTTCTTGTGTTATATCCAGTTGTGTCTGTCAGTTAAGGAACAGAATTCACCAACATGACAAATCTGCTGCACAAATTCCAAATTTGATCCAGAGGACAGAGATTCCTTCAGGGCTGATTTGAGGATGTGAAGCACAGAATCGCAAAAGAACAAGGAGATACCTTCTTGTTTACCCAGAAATCTAGAAAACCTTAAAGGAGGATTATTTTCCAAAACCCAGTTTACCCTCTAATAAACAAATTAGAAGCAAACTTTTAAATAGGAGTTCTAATCAAGTATCTTTAATTGCTCTTTAGATCCCAAAGTGTTCAAATATAAGGATTAGATCCACTCTTATACATACTACAAATGAAAGCAGTTACTCTGGTAGATATAGATTCCTGAAGCAATTCTGTTATTACTGCTATCCTATCATCCTGTTTTTGTTTTAAAATGTGCCTTTAAAATAGGGGGGGGGACCCAGATTTTACAGCAAGAGCCTCCATAGTAAATGGTTCCCTTGCACTATTTTCTATGATAACCACATAAAGAACTGAAAGTTGCCTTAAGCACACTATAAGGTTCAGCATTTGTAGCTTCCAAAATCTTTAATATATGGTTCACTATATTCGCCTTCTATATATCTGGGTTTTGTAAGCACAAATCAAATGCCAGTAAGACCAGTCTTTTTTTTAAAAAAAAAGTAGGACTTGGTGAGCACGATGAGGCTAACAAAAATATATCTGACAGATTTCTGAAAGCCAGATTAAATATGGGTTTGATTCAAAAAGCAAATGTTTTCTCAAGCCCCAAGTCGACAAGATCTATCTTTTCAGCCAGATATCTAGCAATCTGGGTCAATTAATGAAAGCATAATGACTAGTGTAACTGACCCTTTAATTTCCAAAACATGAAAAACTGGCTGAAAACATTAAAAGCAAAGAACATGAAAACCAGGTGGTAGGAATTGCCACAATTCAGAGGATGTATATAAAATGTAACTACTGTTAACTGAGACAAAGTATACATTTTATTCTCTTTTTCATTCTAGCACATTGTATGTCTCCAAACTTGTGCCTTTTATGGGGTTTCCAGATTACAGCTGCAGTAACTGCTGGCCAACATAATTGACAGTTATGATGGTTCTGCAAATCAGTATTTCTGAAGGGCATTTCTGAAAGGAAAGCACTTTGAAACTGAATATGTATCCTAATAAAGATTGTATTCTAATTAATGATCTCATTGATAGTCACATTTTAATGGTGGGTATTTTACCATGAGATGTTTCCAATTTCTCTTATACAGAGATCATACCTGCCCAGCTCTGCAGAGATGGAAATGATTACATGTATCTGTCAGGGATATTTATTTACTTGCTTAACAAAGGTCTGGTTACTGAAATTACCACCTACTGAGAAAAACAGTTTGAAAATACATTAGGAAGAAGTACATTCAGTTTTCTTTTTTACAATCTGTAGCTCCCAAGAAGTGTTTCATTTCATTTTGTCTACAAGAGAGTCCTCTTCTGAACCGTGTTTCTAGTGATATTCCAGCATATAAAAATAGAAATTAAATAAAGGAAGGGTGGATGGGAACAATTTTTATGGTGAGATTTCCATAAAACCATATGAAACAATGAAAAACCCCAACATCAGTAGGAAATATTTTTCCCGTTACAAACTTCATAAGGATTTCTACTTATTCTCCAGGTGCTTAGTATATTCTGCGTGTTGTATAATCCAGAACCATGCTAGCGGCTCCAAGCAAGGCAGGATCACTCAGGTCTGAGACAACCACATTCACTGTTTGGACAGAAAATAGCGCTCGCTGACGAATCACATCTCTGACAACATTGACATAATGACTTGCCAAGATGCCAGAAAGTATAACCAGGGAAGGACTAATGGTGTGCAGAACATTAACAATTCCAAGGCCCAGGGCTGTTCCTGCTGTGAGGAAAAAAAGGAAACATGAGTTAGGGAGGACATAAGAACTGGAGTTACATAAGAAAGAAACTCTTTCCATTTATTCTTTGGATTAATTATAGATCTGTTGCTTTAGGCACAAATATAATTTTCTTAAAATTGGATTGAGTCTATTTTCACAGGAGCTATCAAAGAAAGAAGTATCAAACATGGTTTCTACTACATTCAGGTTACATAAACAGGTTTCAGTAAAACCTCTTTTAAGTTTTCAAGGATTATGATTCTATGCTAGCAAGTATGCTTCAAAATTTAAATGAGGGCTTGTCCTCCAAAGAAACAGAAATTAAGACTGCTCTCCATTCATAAAAAGGCTCCCTTTCCTATTCTGTTGATAGACCTCTTCCATTAACAGGAGAATCCTAGCTGAATACTTGCCAGGCAGCTTGGTTTAATGGTATTGAGATGCTCTAAGTTGTAGAGGCAACGTGGTTATCTTGTTCTAGCAAAGAAGCAACGTGTTTTGCCTCAATAAAACACTTGATGTTACCCCAAAGCCTCAACTGTCACCCCAAACTGCTGGAGAAGGTTTTGTTCATCTGCTGAACAATTGCAACTGCTAGAACACGCTTTAGAAACAAGTGAAGCAAAACGAAGTAATCAATTTAGTTTCAAATGTAGAAGTGCAAGCAGGGCTACAAAGAACAACTTTCACAGGGTGATTCTGGTGAACCACTAGCACAGAAAGTAACCTATCAAAGCTTTGCACAATTGTATTTAAGATGATTCTCTGCACTTCTAACTATATTTTTTTCACTTCTATCCCTCCTTATCTTGCCTGGTCTATTTTTCCCTCTCTTTGCATTTCCAGTGGAAAGTTAAAATGTTATCGGGAGAAGAATAAGGCCTATTTTTGGTACTGTTTTATAACAGAAACAAACAGATGATGCTACAGCAGTAGCAATATTTACCACTAGCCAATATTCTAACAAAGATCTCAGTCTTAGGTTTGTATTTTTACCTGTTCTAACAATATTGTCAGCTTTTGAGTTTCCTAGTTTAGCTGCCTGAATAAGATGTGCAGCAGTTATTGTATCTTCTTTTTTCATAGACATATCTCCAATCAATAATGAATCCTCTGTTTGGAGAAAAAAAAATGGAAGAAAGCAGAATTAGTAATTAAGAGGCAAAACAGAAAATGCTGATTATTACATTTTACCAATCATTTTTTTTAAAAAATCACAAAGAATCTAATCTACCTATGGCATACAATAAAATTAATTTTAGTGCAGCTTTTTCCATAAATGAAGTTTTATCCCTCTTTTCTGACAAAAAATCCCACTGGCTTCCTACAGATGTAAAATGATTTCACATAAATACCGGTATGTATCAGGAAACAGTGGAATATACCTAATCTGTTTGGTTTTGTTTTGTTTTTTAACCAACAAAACTGACTTAAGTAATGCAAATGCAGATTTAGCCCTCACTTTCCTGATGCTGGATTTTATCTACATTAAGTCCTTAAAACGTTCTTAAATTGGTATAAGCCAAGGAAATCCACTTTCTTTTTTCTTGTTTACATTTACAAATGTAACTTTTAATTCATGCAATTGCCTATAAATGCACATACCGTATTCATATCTATATATAATAATACATTTTATTACTTTTTTATTATAATAGTAAAATGTAATACAAACTAAACAAATAAATGAAGAATAGAAAGGAGTAAACTGCAAAAAAAGAGAAAAGTAAGAATATAATAAAGAAAAATATACTGTATAATGAATTCATCTTCATCTCAACAACTATAAAAAAAAATTAGTGACTCTCCACTACTTCTCTGAAGTTATATTTATTTCTTTATCCCATACTCTATTTATGATCTATGAAAAAATCATAAAACATCATCTTTTCAGGCCTGATATCAGCAGAAAGTACATGAAAGGTAGCTAGAAGTAACAACATATTTTGTTCAAACTTTGATGAAAAACCCCAACTTTATATTACTTCCTTTTACTTTAATCTTTAGTTAATTCAAATACTACCATAGGATTTGATTTCTTTTCATTTTTTCTTTGTCCCATCACCAAGAGTTCTTCAAGGCTTTAAGAAGTCTCTTAAAATCCCACTCCAATAAAATCCTCCTAAATCCAAAACAGTCTCTTGGTTTGTAGTTTGTATTTCTCTTTTAAATTTTAAAATCTCAGACAATTTCTGTTGTAGATCCGGTAAAAGATCCTTTTCTAAATCATTAACTTCTCTTGTCAATTGTAAATTCACTTTTGATACCATCTCCATCTTGCCAGATAAAGTCTGTTCTACATCTGACATTTTTTCATAGTCTGTCCACAAAAGCAGACATAATTACTAATTTTCTTGATACTGTGGCTACTATTATCTAATTCCATCCTTCCAAAGTCTCCTTCAGGATTTTTATTGACAAAATGTTTTGCACCATCTACTGGTCTTTATATCTGTATCTAAAATCTTTAGTCCCCTCTAGTGTCCAGTTTTTGAAAACATGAAATTGTTCATCTATGTTATGTCTTATATAAACCAACAGATCTATTTCTTGCAAGATGATGTTTGTAGTTTATAATTAATTTTAAAATCCTAGTGTAAGGGTTTTGGTATTCCAATTTATCTGGACTCATTCCATTTATAACATTCTAAAAGCAAAATCTTATTTATGTTTTTGCTCTTTATTTCAGATTCTTTACATTCTTAAGCTTACGAAGAAGTTTCTTCTTTGAAGAAACGCCTTCAAAGAAAAAAGAAAAAAACAAACAAACCAGAAAGTCCAGTTGCCTCTTGAAAAAGCACCTTTGGGACACCCATAACCTGGATAACTCAGAATCTCCATAAACTCTTAAGCTTATGATTAAAATTTTCTTTTGTGAAAGATTGAAGGCAGACTCACCCAGCTTTTTCAAACCTATGTTTGAAATCAGATTAGTTTCAACTATAGAAGAGCAGCCCAGATTATAAGGCAACAAATATATTTAAGTGAGTTTATTCATTAGCATGTAACAGTAACAGAGCTGGAAGGGACCTTGGAGATCATCTAGCCCAACCCCCTGCTCACGCAGGAGACCTGTACTAGGGATTCGAACCGCCGAACTGCCGACCTTTCTGATAGACAAGCTCAGTGTCTTAGCCACTGAGCCACCTAGTCAGGCTTTGAGCCACCTAGTCAGGCTTTATATCCATGTGATGGATATATTGCAATAAAGAAGGCTTTTCAGATCAGAGTTATATACAGGTAGTCCTCAACTTACGACAACAATTGAACTCAAATTTCTTTCTTTTTTTAAAAATAAAGTTTATTTTCATTTTTAAAAATACAATACTTTACATATATACATACAAGGTTATTGCAACTAACGTACACAAATCTGTGCCTATACCACTAATACAATCCATTTCATTTTCCTCTCTTTTCTTTCACCCAATTATACCATAAATTCCAACATTTGTAATAATCAGAATCTTTTTGGTTCCTAAGTAGTTTCGTTAACCGGTCTGCCTTTGCGCATTCTGTAATTTTCCAAATCAATTTATTTTCTGTGGGTATTAATTCGTTTTTCCATTCTTGCGCGTATAGTATCCTAGCTGCAGTATTGATGTGGAGGATCAAATACCATTTTTCCTTAGTTATTTTGTTTCATTCCTAATAAAACAATCTCTGGTTTCAGCTCTATATTATATCCTGTAATTTACACCATCCAGTTCCAAACCTTGGACCAATATTTGCCTGCTTTGGGGCACGTCCACCATTGGTGGTAGTACGTCCCACAACCATTCCCACACTTCCAGCATGCCGGAGAAACTCCCGGGAACATTCTTGCGATTCTTGCCAGGGGGATATGCCAACGATAGACCATTTTATAAACATTTTCCTTGTAGGGAGTTGACAAAGTAAGTTTCATATTCCTATTCCATATCTCATCCCATTTATCCAGATTTGGAGAAAATCCAAGGTTCTTCCCCCAGGCAATCATAGTGTCCTTGATCACCTCCTCGCCAATCCATCGTGATACTAAAAACTGGTAGCACCTTGAAAGTAATTTCTTTTCAATTCCCAATAAGATTTTATCTAACTCCTATAGTGACCTATATATTCCCTCCTTTCTTTGGTCCCTTCTGACTCTCGATTGTATTTGGGCATACGCCCACCAGTCTACCTTTTTGCCCTGTTTTGTAAGCTCCTCTCGGGTCTTCAATTCCCCTTGAGGGTCAAGCAAATCCTGGTAAGTCAATGGTATTTCCTTATTATATAGTGTCGCATGTGTTACTGCCTCTAATGGGACAAACCAAATCGGAATCATTGAATAATGCCTGTTCCTAACTCTTTCCCAAGATTCTAATAATATTCTCCGAAGGTAGTGTCTCTTCAACTGTCCACATTTCTTGCCCCTCTCCCTCCATAGAAAATGGTGCCAACCTTGACACAAATCATAACCCTCCAATGTAAGAGTCCTCTTCCTATTTAAAAGCATCCAGTCTCTGATCCAAGTTAAATTAGCCGCTTGGTAGTAAAACTCCCATTTCGGTAGACCAAATCCCCCTCTACATGGAGCCTCTTGGAGCATTTTAAGTTTTATCCGGGGCTTCTTCTTCTGCCATTTCCTCACATAACTATCTAGCAGTTTAAAAAAACCACTATCCAGTCTCGCGGGGGCGGTCTGAAATAAGTAGTTCCATTTCGGAAGTACGTGGGTTTTAATCGTAGCTATCATACGAAGTAAGGAGAGTTGCAGGTGCTCCCACTTTTCTAGGTCTGTCTTTGTTTGGGCTAACAACTTTGTGCAATTATCTGCCATAATGGACGTATTTTTAGAAGACATCCAAATACCCAAGTATTTTATTCTTTTAGTCACTTGAAAGCCCAATTCTCTCTCCAATTCATTCCAACGATTTCGTGTCATATTATAATCTTCGTCTTGTCTTTGTTGATTCAGAGACCTGCAACTCTACCATACTTCTCTATCTCCTGAAGCAAGTTTTTACCTGATTCTAATGGATCCTCTACAATAAAAACCAAATCATCCACGAATGCCTGAGTTTTATATTTTTCAGATGTCACCTTCAGCCCCTTTATTCCCTGATTCTTCCTAATTTCCCGTAGCAGAGGTTCTAGTGTAAAGATAAATAGAAGTGGGGACAGTGGGCATCCTGGTCTTGTGCCTTTTCCAATTTCAATCCTACCCGTTTCTTCCCTATTAATTAAAGCTCTAGCTATTTGAGTTGAGTAGATTGATCTTACCGCCCGTATATAATTATCTCCAAATTTCATTTTATCTAACAAGGCAAACATAAATTTCCACCTAACCCTATCAAAGGCCTTCTGAGCATCTACAAAAATGAATGCTACTTCCTTATCCGAAAACGTCTCATAGTACTCCATTGCATCTATTATCGTCCTCACATTATCCCTTATTTGTTTATGTGGCAAGAACCCATTCTGGTCTCTATGTATGTAGTGGTTTAAAAAATGTTTCATTCTCCCTGCTAAAATTGAAGTGAAGATCTTATAATCGGTATTCAAAAGGGATATAGGCCTGTAATTGTGGATCAGCGATGAATCTGTTTCTGCCTTGGGAATCAAGGAAATATATGCCTCCGTCCAGGAATTTGGGATCCGACCCTCCACGATGATTCCATTAAAGACTTCAGTCATATATTGTCCCACTATATCAAGAGTTTCCTTATATTGTTAATAGAATTAGAAATAAGACAACTGAAATGTCTATTGGTTACTATTTATGCTCCGAATGGAAATCAGAAGTCTTTTTATGAACGTATATACAAAAAACTGATTGAATTAAAATATGACCATGTTTGCCTGATTGGGGACTTTAATGTTATATTGGACAGCAATTTGGACTATTCACCAGGTACTAAACTGCCGGGGGGAGAGAAAAAAATATACAGGAGGGGGTTGCCAAAGGAAGGAATCATGATGAGAGAAGAATTAGGCCTTCGGGACACATGGAGAGACCGACACCCAGAGACGAGACAATATACATTTCACTCTTTCAGGCATAAGTCATGGTCGCAGATTGACATGGCCTGGATGACACTACAATTAGGGGAATACGTTTCTGAGACAGAGATTGGGGTTAATGATTGGGCTGACCACAGCCCCTTGCTTGTAACATGGAGGGGCCAACAGAAAAGGAAAAGATGGAAGATGGATGTGAGGGTGCTGAAGGATGAGGAAGTTGTAACCTGGATCAAGAGAGAAACAGAATATTTCTTTAAAGAGAATAAGAAAGAGGATACGAGCCTGCAAAATAATTGGGATATTTATAAGGCGCTAATTAGGGGATTGGTAATAAAATATACAATAAGGAAGCAAAGACTGGAAAGGAAGGAACGATCAAATTTAATGGATGGTTTAGAACAGGTGGAAAAAGGATTACGAAACAAACCGATGGATCAGGCATTATTAGAGGAAAAAAATTCAATTCGCCATAAAATAAATTTATTGGACCAAGAAGATGTAGCTGAAAAATGCAGGTGGGTCAAACAAGGTTATTTTGAAAACGCTAACAAGCCAGGAAGATGGCTAACCTATAGAATTAAAAAGTTAAGGGAAAGAAGTAAAGTAGGTGGTTTCAAGGATGCGAATGGAAGATGGGTAACCGAAGGGGAAGGTATGAAGGGAATCGTACAGAAGTTCTTTACGGATTTATACAAGAGAGAGGAAGGGTCAGACCAAGAGATGGAGAAATATATAGAGGGGCTGGATCTTCCAAAAATGCCGGAAGAGGTAAGACAAATACTTAACAGGGAAATTTCAGAGAAGGAATTGGAAGAAGCAATTGGGAGGCAGAAATTAGGGAAAACTCCGGGGACAGATGGGATTCCTATGGAATTCTGTAATTGAGCTCAAAATTTATGTTGCTAAGAAAGACATTTGTTAAATACGTTTTGCTCCATTTTACAAGCTTTCTTGCCACAACAGTTAAGCGAATCACTGAAGTTACCGTGTTTCCCCGAAAATAAGCCCTCCCCGAAAATATTTAAATGCATGTGTAGTCGGTCCCCACTATTTCCTCTGGTTAGGGTTAGGGAGACAGAGCTGGAAATCAGGTAAGACGGCAAGAGGATCCCTATCTTGCTCCACGTGCCCCAAAATAATAAGACCTCCCCAAAAATAAGGCCAAGTGCTTATTTCGGGGTTCAAAAAAATATAAGACAGGGTCTTGTTTTCAGGAAAACACAGTATTAAGTTAGTAACATAGTTGTTAAGTGAATGTGGCTTCCTCATTTATTATTTATTTATTCAATTTGTATGCCGCCCCTCTCCGAAGACTCAGGGTGGCTTTGCTTGTCAGAAGATCGCAAAAGGTGAGCACACGACCCCAGGACACTGCAACCGTCATAAATATTAAGTCAGTTGCCAATTGTCTGAATTTTGAACTTGTGACCATGGGAATGCCACAATGATTGTAAGCGTGAAAAACGGTCACTTTGTTAACTTTGTGCTGTTGTAACTTTGCATGGTCACTAAACAAATGACTGTAAGTCAAGAACTACCTGTATATGTTGATCAAGGTGGTCAGTGTGGATACTGGCATGCTAGTAGATGCAGAAGTATGCATTCTGCTACCTTATTTAATAAATGGCAGCTACTGAGTGGCAAATGTATTGTATGTGAACTTTTTTTAGGCTGCTGACACTTATGTACAATCTACTAGTGAACATGGGCATAAACAACAGGACGTCACCTTACTTACCATCATGTAATTTCTTAGCTTCTCTCTGCAAAGCTATTCCAGAAGCATATGCCTCTATGCAGCCATGGTTCCCACACAGGCACTCTGGTCCATCCATTGCTACCACAATGTGCCCAAGCTCAGCAGCACAAAAAGAACTACCGTGAATTAATTCATTTTGATGAATGATTCCACCACCGATACCTGGAAGGAAAAACATAAGGACATCGTCGCTAAACTCTGAAAACCAGAAAATATATAGCATTCCAATGGATTCCTTTATCATAGGCAAATATAAAATCTCACTTGACTGCCCAGACTTTATTTGAGTGATTCAGTGTTTGATGGTGCTCTGTCCATCCAATTTATTTTTCAATTTATCACCCTCGCTCCCATTCTCTCTTGCTCCATTCTTGTTTGATATTCTTCAGTTTGTTTGTTTATTCAATGCTCCCTTTATCCAGTTTTTCCTCCTTCCCCCCACCTTTTCATAACATTATACTCTTAATATTTTGTTGAAAGACAGTAATTATTCAATTGTACTTTTTAAAATTTTGTCTTCAGTGTTTGTTAATGCCTCCTGCAAAACATTTATATGTAAGAATAAACAATGAAGGTTTCTGTCCATCTATTTCATGGTTTTTGTCTTTTGTCTTTATGCATGCATTATACTGAAGAGGTGTGTGTCAACATTAGCTAGTATTATTGGAGAGATGAAAGATGGATTTGAAAAGTGTTGTAAAATGTAATCTTCTCATCGTTCCCACCACCCATCTCCTTCCACTTATGACTGTATGACTATAACTTTGTTGCTTGTATCCTTAGGATTTATATTGATATTGTTTCTTATTTGTACCTTATGACTATCATTAAGTGTTGTACCTTATGATTCTTGACGATACTTTTCTTTTATGTACACTGAGAGCATATGCACCAAGATAAATTCCTTGTGTGTCCAATCACACTTGGACAATAAAAAAATTCTATTCTGCTCTATTCTAAATGTCGCTACTGTAAAAACAATGTAACTTGAAAACACCACCCATTTTTACATTTCAAATGCTTGAATTTCTTTTAATAATGGATTAATTTTCCTGGAAATATAATTATTATATGCATTGTTAACCTTTTAATCTTTGTATACTATACAATGAGAAAGAGGAACTCCATTTCTTTTTTCCTGTTTTACACTCTGGAATTCGAAATGAGTCATGAGAAATGATCATTTGACTGACATAAGGTGTAGTGGAGGGGCTATTCCAAAGCCAAGGATTTAGTAGATAAGTGGTTACTGCCCAGTAATTTGCATCGGTTTAAATCTAATAAAATAACAGAAAACATAAGAGAAGTTTCCTATTATTTGCACTAATCACAATTCCCTGCCCAAATCTGACATTTCCTGTAGTTTAAGGGGATTTAATCATGTACCCAACAGCTGGATAGAGATTATAGCCATTTGCACATGATCTATTACAACAAATATAACATTTGAATAAGTACAAGATGGAATTATTACTCGATTCCAAAAAAGACTGAAAACTGTTTTAGGAAGTTTGAGGAAATTGATACCTGTGCCAGTGATAACGGTTATAAAGTCTTCCACTCCTTTTCCATGTCCAAATTTTCTTTCTGCTAAAGCTGCACAGTTGCCATCATTATCCACCCAGACTGGCAAATGCAGGGCGTCTGAGATTGGAGTCCGCAAGTCAACAGCGTTCCACTCCTGAATAAGTTTTGTGGAATGAAGAACAACACCTTCTCGGGGATCAACTCTTCCACCTGTAGAAATGCCTGAGCCACACCGCATAGATCAAGTTATATGAAGAACAGGACAGAACTCTATTAATTCTAGCATTTATTTATTTTTTAAATCCAAAATAAAGCTTTGTTAAGTGTTAGCTTCTCATTCAGAAACAAAATGAACCACCTCCTTCAACAACGAAACAACTAACTCCAGTAGTTCGGTTTTACGTTACTTTTAACTGTAAGAAGAATTCTTCAATAAACCCCCAAATAAGTAAAGAATTGTTATCATATGGTAACTCATGCCACAATTTCCTGTTTAATTTTGCATTATCTAATAAGATGCAGAGATACATTGTCTGAATTTCCCATATATCCTGTTGATTGTACTGTATCCATAGATAGTATCACACACAAAAAATATGAGAGAAGACAAAATCTTCAAAAATTTAGAGGTTAACAGCTGTCCTGCTTATTTCAATCTAACACTTGATGCTCAATCAGTGCCTTTTCAGCCTATTGTAATTTTGAGGGGAAAAGTATAATCTAAGACTATATATACTATTTCTAATTGCCTTCAGAAGTACAACTTATTATGAAATATATATGGCATGGGGCTCGAGGATGTTATTTATTTATTTAGTGCCTCTGGGTCAGGTTTTGGCTTCTAAAGACTGCCTAGAAAAGTCCCTGCAGTTTTCTTGGGAAGGTTTTTCAGAAGTGTTTTGCCAATGCCTCCTTCCTAGAACTAAGAAAGAGAGACTGAAGTAAAGTCATCCAATTGGCTTTATGCCTAAGGCAGGGCTAAAACTCGCAATCTCCCACTTTCTAGCCTAGTGCCTTAACAACTGCACCAAACTGGCTCTTTGAGAACTGTATACCAATTTTAATATATAAATTCATTTTGCAGGCTATAAACACTAAGATACCCGTTTGTAAAATTCAGCACTTAGCAAACAATTCCTTTTATTATATTTGAAATGCATAACTTCTTGCCTTCATTTCATAAAGCAAAAATAAAAATAAAAATATGATGATTATTAAACTTACCTACACCCAGAATTCTGCAATTCAGGTCTACTGCTTCTGAGGCAGCTTCGATACACATCTTAAGGATCAATTCTATTCTATCCTCATAAGTTTTAGGGTTCAGTTGTATGTATTTCTTAACTATTTCACCCTAAGAGAAAAGAAAAAACCCATCAAATTTATGTTTTCTAAATATTCTTCTGTCATAAAAGTGCTGTTCCCACAGGATATCAAATATGGCACAGAGTGGTAGACTATGTGCCATCAAATCAATGTCAATTCTTGCTGACCAGTCAAAATCAAAACTGAAGAGATGAGACATGTATTCCATGCAGCAAGCAAATACTATATAGGTAGTCCTCAACTTACAACCATCTGTATAGTGACCACTTGGGAATTACAGCGACACTGAAAAAAGTGACTTATCACTGTTTTTCACACTTACGACCATTGCAGCATCCCCCATGGTCATATGATCACAATTCAGGCATTTGGCAACCAACATGTATTTAGGATGCTTGCAGTGAACTGATCACCATTTGTAATCTTCCCAGTGGTTTCCAACAAGCAAAGTCAATGGGGGAAGCCAGATTCACTTAAGGCTGTATGATTCATTTAAGAACTGCAGTGATTCACTTCACCATTGTGGTAAAAAAAAATGTTGTAAAATGGGGTAAAACTCACTTAACAACTGTCTTACTTAGCAGTGGAGATTTTGGGCTCAATTGTGGTCATAAGTTGAGGACTAACTGTATGAAAAGAGAAGTCTTTCTATGTATCTCTGCGCTTTCCTAGCCAGACAACCATATGCCCAACCTTAATCTCAGCTTATTGGCTGGCCTGCAAAGGGGATGAAAATGGTGGAGTTAATGCCTTTTGCAACAAGAAAGGAACAATGAAAGACAATCCTGGTTTAAGACATCTTTTAAATATTAATTAAATTTAATTAATCCTATCAGTTAAAAATGAACCAAGCAAGAGTTTTAAGAGGCAAACATCCTGTTCTCAGGAAGCCTAAACTTGATAGAAGGTGCTATTAAAAAAGAGCTCCATTACACTCCATTACAGTTAAGGGAGAAATGGCTCTTCTAAACAATGCCCATCAACTGCAATTTTTACAATGTTTTTTTTTTATAACGTTTATGTTAAAAACAGTTTATGTAATCCCAAGGCAGCTTTGCTACGACATGGGAGTCCAAAACCACATTGTGAGTAGCAGTACAGAATAGAATTCATACTCAGCTACTATTCTTTTAATTCTTCAAACTTTACATAGCCCACCCTGTGTTTCCTGAATCAGGATGTATCTACGTATGATAGATCGTCATTTGATTTTAGATCACTGTTTCACTTAAACCAATTCATCTAATGTGTACATTGCACTACAGTATAATGGATTATTTGAAAATTGGAATTATTTAGTTGCATTTATATTCCACCTGTTATCCAGGACTTCATGATACGGGGTCTAGTCTCATTTTACCTCCACAACAACAGGGGTAGGTTAGGGTGAAAGATAGTGAATGGGCTTTAATCACTTTGCATACAGTACACCAAAACATCTGTTATATATTTTTTAAAATGTTTTATTTTATAGAGAATTGATACCCATCAGTATTGATTGGAAGATTGTGTTATATTCTACATATTTTCTCTTTTTTTCCTCCACATTGTCTTCTGGTAACAGAGGTTTTTTCCCCCTCTGAATATCTATTTATTATCAACATGCTATCCTCTTACAAGAAGCTGCCACATTTTAGTAAGACAGAATACAGGGATCGGGTGCATTTTAAAATTATTATACTACTTAAAATTATAAGTGTGTTATTCTCTGCAAGACACCTCCCTGTGGATATATAAACCATTCTTTTATGGTTTATTTATGATTTATAATTACCTTCATGCTGACAATTGCTACTCGGAGATTCGTTCCACCCAGATCCACTGCCAGTGCACTCTGGGTTTCTAAGATATGATCAATATCTTGGGAAATATTTTCTTTTACAGTGGGGAAGCAGAATTTCTTTTGAAGGGGTTCCTCCAGGTCAATGGATTTAAGGAACTTCAGAATTCTTGGAACAGCATTTCCATCGCCATATATTTTTGAACTGTAACATCAAATGGAAGAAATTATAACATTTTAAAACAGATGGAAAGTATCTTACAAGCTAAACCTATACATTCAGATTGTGAGTACACTAAGAGAGATGCCAGGAGGGATACATCTTGAAAAAGTTATTTAAAAATTGTCCTTGAATATATTTACAACATTAAACTAGGAATGCTCAGCATGGTGCTGGGATAATTAGTAAGACAGAAATTAATGCTTGTATTTATTTTCATTGGAGAGGAAGACATGCACCCTCCTATCCTTCCGCAAGTGCCTGAAGACCTGGTCTTTTTACTATATTCAAAAGAATCGATTTCCAAGTAAATGCGCAGAGAATTGCTATCTTACTTTTTAATTTTAATGTTAATAGAACCATGGCAACATTAATAATGTGTGTACCTTTTTGCCAGCTAATGAGCTTGGCTTATATCTGATAATAACAGTATATTTGCTTTTTTTCCTTGTTCTTTGGTATCCGTCCTGCAAATTCTAACTTAAGCATCGATACACATATGGCAACATATGTATAACTTGTTCTTAATTTAACTTGTTTATTTATCCCACACTAAAGTAAAAGGTAAAGGTTCCCCTCGCACATATGTGCTAGTTGTTCTCAACTGTAGGGGGCGGTGTTTATCTCTGTTTCAAAGCCGAAGAGCCAGCACTGTCTGAAGACGTCTCCGTGGTCATGTGGCCGACATGACTAAATGCCAAAGGCGCACGGAACGCTCTTACCTTCCCATCAAAGGTGGTACCTATTTTTCTCCTTGCATTTTTTACGTGCTTTCGAACTGCTAGGTTGGCAGAAACTGGGACAAATAACAGGAACTCACCCCGTTACACGGCACTAGGGACTCAAACGGCTGAGCTGCCGACCTTTCAATTGACAAGCTCAGCATCTTAGCCACTGAGCCACTGCGTCCCTTAGGACTTGACTTGACTTTATTTATTTATTTATTTATTTGAAGTAGTCCCTTAGGACTACGTCATTTAATGACCAAATTCTTAAATGAGGTCTACTTATAATTGTGAGCCTAAATAGAAAAAGCTGGGCAGGGAGTCTGGGATTTGCCAGGGGAAGTATCTATGGACACAGTCTTCTCTACACTCTTTATGTTTCAGGGGGAAAAAAGGCAAGCATTTTTTTTTACGTATGGTAGTAGTAAATCTGAAGCAAACAGATATACATCAGCGAAATGAATTATGCAAACTGTCATTTACTCTGTAGGGCAGCATTTTTTAATACAAAGATACCATTAAGTTTATCACACAACTGCTTTCCCAATGCCATGTATTATTAGCCTATTTGTAATAAACTGTTGTTTTGAAAAATTTGCAACATGTAGTCATATTTTCTCTTGGTACCTTAATTTTTCTTATACTTGCTTGTATGGCTTTACTCACCAAGGGTATTGTTTCCCAAACTGGATGTGCAAAGCTCGAAGTATTTTGTCTTGGGAATCAGCATCCCTCACGTGAAGGACATTCTCTCCTCAAAAAAAGCAAATGGCCTCAGAACATTAAATATCATATTAGAAAAAACTGAACTTAAAATGAAACATACTTGCTTAATAGAGAAGAACAGAATGCTGGACAAAAAAATAGTTTAAAAATCCGACTTCGTTACTCTTGCATTGTAGCAAATATGTTAGCATAATTATTTAAACAATTAAATGTCCTAAATGTCAGTTTCTTTTTCTGTATTTTAATTATTGTTAGTTGCCTTGATTCCTTGGTTGAATAAATAATAAAACGAATTACATCTGTGTTCTGGTTTTCATATACATTAACAAGATGCATATTTTAAAATATCATCTGCAGAATTGAATGAATAAAAGGGTATATTCATAAAAAACACAAAAAATAAAATGTATTTTGCTTTTATTTTGGTTGATGGACAAATAATGCATTTCATTATATTACCACAAATCTTTCCAGCGTTCTCAGCCTTAACAGAAATTAAAATATAAGCCTGCCTATTTGACCCCTTAACTGCACAAAGCAATTACCCACAGAAGTGCACTCAGTTAAAGAATCATACAAGTAAGTAGGCTCCCTGTTTCACAGGAAGAGAAAAATAACCACAGAAAAGAAAACATTTCCTCTAATTTTACCTTGCTTTTCTGAATTACAATTTTAATCAGGCCCCTGTTCAAGTCAGAAAATGGTTTGCTTCCATAGAGATACAGTGGTAATAACTGCCCATCCCTGCCCCTCAATTTCCATCAATAAGTTGAGTGAGATTTCTCCCTTCCAAGTTTCAAATTCTCCTCTCCATTTCCCTTGCGGCTTTAGCAGTTTGGGAAAGAGGGGAAAATAGCAACTAAATTCAGGAACTAAATTCTACTGGAAGTCTTCACTTAGGCTTTATGTTGTACTATCCAATCAACCATCATTCTTTAGCCACCTGACAATTGGAGCTTACTCCTCTATGTTACTCTCTGCTGCTAAAGTTGCAGGACATAACCATAAATCCTTCAACATAAAACCATGTACATTTGCACCATCATGCATTTACTCAACAAACATGGAAATGCCGAATTCTAAAAGATAGATTTAGTTCAATAGCAGTGCAATGTAGAAATTAGCCTGAACACCAAAAACATTTTGGCTCATGGCAGAGTGTTTTGTTTGGTGATATTCAGGAAGAAAGCCTCTTTTCTACACTGCCTAGGACAGTGATGGCTAACCTTTTTGTGGTCGCGTGCCAAAAGCGGGGGGAGCGCGGGGGGGGTCACGCGTGCATGCGCCCACACCCATAATTCAATGCCCCGTGCCCCGCCCCTCCACACATGCAAGCGCGACCCCCCCACACTCCCCCCGCTTTTGGCACGCGACAGCAACAAAGTTACTGGTGGGCCCTCTAGGCCTGTTTTTCACCCTCCCCAGGCTCCAGAAGCTTTCTTGGAGCCTGGGGATGAAAACAGCCTTCCCCCCCACCCCGGAGACCCTCTGGAGGCCCCTCCAGTGGGCCCAGAAGGCCCAAAAAATAGCTGGCCAGCACACACATGCGCGCTGCAGCTGAGCTAGGGCAACGCTCACATGCCCACAGATATGGCTCCGCGTGCCACCTGTGGCACGCATGCCATAGGTTTGCCATCACGGGCCTAGGAAATGTTAACTACAACTAGTCCTTGACTTACAACCATTCATTTAGAGACCATTCAAAATTACAACGGCCCTGAAAAAAGGACTTACAACCAGTTCTTGCACTTTCAACCACCGCAGCATCCCCATGGTCACATGACCAATATTTTGGAGCTTGTTAGTTGGCATGTATTTACAATGGTTGCATTGTCCTGGGGATCATATGATCACCATTTGCCATTCCTAGTAGCTTCTGAAAAGCAATGTCAATGGGGGAATCCAGATTTGCTTAACCACGTGATTCTCTTAAAAGCTACCATGTGATTCTCTAAAAAGCTACCATGATTCACTTAAGAACCATGACAAAAAAAACCCATGTAAAATCAGGCATAATTCACTGAACAACTGTCTTGATTAGCAGTGGAGATTCTGGTCCCAACTGCGGTCATATGTTGTGGACTATCTACAGCAGGGGTGTCAAACTCAAGGCCCGGGGGCTGGACCCAGCCCGCTGGGTGCTTAGATCTGGTCCACGGGGACGCCCTAGAAACAGCAAAGGATTAGCCCACGGTGCCTCTGCCAGCAAAAATGGAGCCTGGGAGGGCCACACACGGCCCTCCCAGGCTCCGTTATCAGCTGTGACGGCCTCCTGCCACCTTCTGCCAGTGAAAATGGAGCTTGCCACCCCCCCCCAAGCTTTATTTTCACTGGCAGAGGCAGCAGGAGGCCGTCACAGCTGATAATGGAGCTCAGGAGCCCGTTTTCGCTGGTAGAGCATTTGGGCCACCACAGATGCCCCCGACACGAGTGACATCAAGCTGGCCATGCCCACTCTGGCCATGCCCCCCAGCCCCTGCCCCCGGGGTCAAAAACAACCCTGATGTGGCCTCAATGAAATCAAGTTTGACACCCCTGATCTACCGCGTATCAATTCTACATAAACAATAGCTTTCAGTTTGTCAGATAGTTCTCTCCACCCTACAGATTTCTGGTTCCAGTTACGAGCATGACTACAGTAATCTTCTCTAGTATGAAAAATGCATGTTCTTCCTTACTCTCACTAAAGAATTTGACACGGCTACAGAAAGCTTTAAATTAAAACAAAGAAACCTAGTGCTAGGCTTTGTTGCCATTTTTAAATACCTGTTTCTCTCCCTATCTGACGGGTTCCAAGATTGATGACAGGAGTTCCAAATGCCCCAACTTCTCGTACACCACAGCTGCTGTTCCCAATCATGCAACCTGCATGAGCCAATAGCTGGATGAACTGGTCGAAGGGGACATTTTTTACTGCACGGAAATTTGGGTGATGCTCAATACCTTTCTTCCTCATTACCCGAACCATTTCTTTGCTCCCTAGGATAAAAAAGGCAATAAGACTTTTAATGTATTTTGAATAAGCGTAAGAGGACTATGAAGGTATACAGAAATTATTACAAGCCACTTTGCATAATGAAATCAGAAGATAATCTTAGTGCTGATCAATTATTGTAATTCCTTTTCAAGATACCGTATTTTCCGGCGTATAAGACGACTGGGCGTATAAGACGACCCCCGAATTTTCCTGTTAAAATATAGGGTTTGGGCTATACTCGCCATATAGGACTACCTCTCTTCCAACGCACACCAAATAAAAATTAAAAAACATCAACTGGCTCACCCACAATGTAAAAGCAGCTGTGCTAGACCCAAAATGGCCCCTGAAACAAGCAGGAACCTCACACAGCCACAAAAAGCCCAAAAAAACAACTTTCACACTTTACACACACAAAATTCCACATACAGCTTTGTGAGATTTTGTGTGTTTGTGTAGTTAGAGTGAAACACTACAGAAACACACTAAATCTCAAAAAGCTGCACAAATATTATTTTATTTTATTTTATTTTTATTTTTATATGAAAGCTAAATTTAAAACTTCCTAAACTTTAAATGGCTAGGTCTAAAAAAGAACAATTAAAAAAAACCCCAATTAACTATTTTTTTTAAAGATCCCAAAGGGGAAAAAAACTTACCCAATAGAACAGGGGTCTCCAACCTTGGCAACTTTAAGATTTGTAGACTTCAACTCCCAGAATTCCTCAGCCAGCTTTGTTTTGCTGGCTGAGGAATTCTGGGAGTTGAAGTCCACAATTCCCTGCCTGCGTGATTGCAGGCAGGGAGTTGCTTGCTGATGGAATGGATTCAGGCAAGCAAAGCAAGGCAAGCAAAGTAAGGCAAGCAGCTAAGGTAAACAAGCTGGAGGGGGAAAACTTTTTTCCTTCTCCATGGCTCTGGCGATCCCAGCTGAGTTGCCTGATTAGCAGATTAGCAGAGCTTGGATCGCCAGAGCCATTTAAGGCTCGTCAGAGTCTTTCGGGCTGGTCTGCCTGGTTACAGGAGAACGTCACCCGGCGTATAAGATGATCCCCGACTTTTGAGAAGATTTTCATGTGTTAAAAAGTCGTCTTATACGCCGGAAAATACGGTAATCTTTATGTCAGGGTTCCAAGTAATACACCCATAATAAATGGAACTCCGAGGCAGGTAGATTCCTCAAAGAACTGGTTTATTGGATATATAATATTGGTACAGCCTGGTGAAAACCGACTCTGAATATTCCCGCAGTTTTCACCTAATTAAAAGTAAAAGGTTTTCTCCCTTCCCCAAATAATCAGTCACATGGTCCAATCATCGTGTTTTCCAGTTGCCTGGTAACTTCGCTCCTCCTCTCTCCTACTACTTGTAGGAATGTCCTTGGTTCCCAAGAGAAAGTATTTTGTTTTGGCTACAAACCCCATCTATCTCTATTCCCCCCTCCCTATCCTTCAGCTCCAGTACGGCAACACTGAAGCTCAGAAAATGGCCTTGCTCAGACCAGCTTCAGGGCTGACACTTTATGTACCACATTCTGCTTATTTTTGTACGAAATGTCTGACTACATGGGCAGAAAAAAAGGCTTCCACTTAATTCACGAGTGTATTTTTAGCTTTCAAAAAGGGATTCCAGTTTCTAAAAATCTCCTGTGTTAATATGAAGCAACCCAATAGATACAGAACTGGGATCTGCCATATAATCTTATTCCTGGATTAGTTATTAATCATATATTCGACATCAGAATAAAAGTTAAAGAGGATGAATGTGACTTAGATTGGGAATTAAATCTCTCTTTTATGAGCAAAACAAATGTGGGCTTAAAGATAATTTAAACTTTAGATGGGGAACATGACACCACTTCATTTTACATAAAGGGATAGGAATCTGGGGAAGTTCTATAAAGGATCAGAGGACAGAAAGGAAGCTGAATGGTCTTGAATATTCATTAGAGACAGTTCTCACTTAACAATCACTTGTTCAGTGACATTTAATTTACGATGGTGCTGAATAAGCGGTACTTATGAACCATCCTCAAAACTCCAACCACTGCAGCATCCCTGTGGTCATGTGATCACGATCTGGAGGCTTGGCAACCAACTCGGAATTATGTCTGTGAGCAGTATCTCACAGTCACACAATTACCATTTGCAACGTTCATTGCCAGTTTCCACAAGTAAAGTCAATGGGGAAGCTACCAGGATTTAATAATAGTGCAGGACTTGCTTAATAACATCAACTAAAAGTCCCAGAACTGGTGTCATTAAGCACCACAATCATGTGAATTGCACTTTACAACCACATTGCTTAGTGGTCCTAATTATTGTTGATAATCAAGGATACCTGTATTTGTGTCAAAGAAGTGAAAGGATAATAATCATAGCACTATCGCTTAAATTTTATACCTATTTTTACATTTCTAATACAGTACATTAACATATTCATAACAGTCATATCACTCACCTGCATCAATATTTGGGAATAAAATCAAAGTCCTCTTGTTAAAAGAGATGAGGGCATCCAAAGTCAGTTCAAACATCTTTACAGAATGTTTAATGTCTGTGGTCACAGGATGTTGTAAAGCGATTATATACTCTTTTGGCTTCACGCCTTCACCTGTGAAAACAATGTAAATGTACTATATGCATGCATACACACTTAAAAAGCAAAACTGAGTTACAAAAAAAAAAGCAACCACAGAATTCATTTAATGACCATGGTGCTCTCTTAATGACATTTAGAAAAAAAAAACAGTTGTAATGTCAAATCTGGTCACGTGATGCCTCAATTTATGACCAGTCATAATTCCGCGCTCAGTTACAACTGTAAGTCAAGGACTACCTGTAATAAGATCCCTTTTCACATTCTAATGTGAAAAGTTTTCTGATAAGATTAATCTAGACTTCTGTTCCATGGAGCAGCTGTAGAATTTATATATTATAAATTCTAATATATAATCCAAAGACAAACATTTTTGGTAAGTCAAACCAAATTGTAATGGTTTGGCATATCAATTATAATGGCAAACTCCAACAGGTGTCAGATAAATCTTTTTTTGCTATGTGCCTGGGATTATACAATAAGATTATGGGGCAATACCAATTTGATGGGTTGTACTCTGCTGCATGAAATTGTAGCCTTACATATACATACGCAACTCATTTACCTAACCACATCCGAATAATGCTCATATAATCCTTATTTTTGGCAGATAGCAGTTTATCATACGAAGGGCATCCTGCCAGAAGGATGCGATCGTGGTCTTCACACATAGAAATCAAATGCTGTTCTGCACTTCTTGTGCAACACACGTGGTAATGAGCCAGCTTGGTAATGGCATGCCTGATGGAATCATCTATGGTCCCGCTGACTTCTCCACCTTCAATGTGAAGAATTCGAATGTTCATTAAGGCAGCAGAGGTAGCTAGCGCTAAAGCATCAAACCGGTCTCCATGGACTATCATTATGTCAGGTTTCAGGCGATTGAGCACATCGGGCAACTTGACTAAGGCAAGACCAACGGATTCCACCATAGCTGCTTCATCTTCTCCTCTTACTATTGTGTGTAATCTGGTGTGGATGTCAAAGTCATCTTGTTCAATCATACGGTAGGTATTCCTGACAAGAGGGAAGAGGAAAAGTGCTTAGATTGCACTGACATACACTTTAACATCAAAGTGACAGATTCAGTATGCTAGTTATTGAAATTAATGGTAGAGTCAATATATTTCTCTGACAAGACAATGATAGGTAATATGAATAATTTTGATCTGAAGAAATTTAATAATAATAGTAATAATAATAATAGTAATAATAGCATGACTGTGGCAAAAATAGTACCAATAGTAATAGGTGCCTTCAGCGCAATCCCAAAACAACTGGAGCACCAGCTGAGAATCATCAACATTGACAAAATCAACATCAGTCAATAGAAAAAAGCAGCTTTGCTCCGAATAGCTTACATCCTGAGATGATATCTGTAACATTATTAAACATCCACATCTGCCTATCCTAAATCCATGGGAAGATTCAACTAGTAGATAAGAATTGTCAAATCTAATCTAAACCTCTGGCTGACTGTGGAACCAGCCATCATCGTCATCATAAAGTATTATTAATAAAACCATTCTTTAAGGGCTGTACAGGTAGCCCTCGACTTACGACCACAATTGAGCCCAAAATGTCCATTGCTAAGCAAGACAGTTAAGTGAGTTTTATTCCCATTTTACGACTTTTCTTGCCACCGTTATTAAGTGAGTCACTGCAGGTGTTAGCAGGTAGTAACATGGTTGTCAAGTGAATCTTGCTTGTCAGAAGGTTGCAAAAGGTGATCACATGACCCCTGGACACTGTAACTATGATAAATACATGTTAGTTACCAAGCGCCTGAATTTTGACTATGGGGATGCTGCCACAGTCATAAGTGTGAAAAACTGTCATTAGGTCACTTTTTTTCAGTGCTGTTGTATCTCTGAATGGTCTCTACACAAATGGCTATAAGTCCAGAACTATCTGTATCTGCAGTAACCCTCCAAGATAGGTATAGCAAGCATCTGTTAAGTCTCATGACACCTGTTCCCAAATATTAAGAAATGTTGACTTCAGAAATTATTGAAAAACGCATACATTTTAGCAAATGAAGAAACATCTCTTCAAAGATATCTGCTGCAAAAATGAAGAACTGGGACAGATTATCACTGGTTTCTGTTGCTATTTTCAGAATCATTACAGCAGGAAATCGTATCATTGTTGAACCTAAAAAGATAGACATCTGAAATACGGATTCCTGGTAAGCCAGCTTGATATTATTAAAAGAGGGGAATGATTCAAATTTGTGAATTGGTTCTTATCTGCTTTGACAACTGCATGAAAATTTGTAGGATCAGGACTTATTCTAAATCAATACAGGTAATCTTCATTTAAAGACCAGCCGCTTAACAACTGGTCAAAGTTAAAACAGATTAAAAAAAAAAATACTTCTGACTCAGAATTACAACTGCTGCATACTCACTTCACCCGCCACCCCATGATCACATGATTTGGAGTACTTGACAACCAGCTCAAATTTACCACTGTTTACACTGTACCATGGTCACATGACTATGATTTGTGACTTTTTTTGCCAGTTTCTGGCAAAAAATGCCATTCAGGAGGATCGATTTGCTTAATGATCAGGTAGTTTGCTTAATGGCAATTTGCTTAACAATCAATGACTTGCTTTACAACCATCATAAAAATGGTTCTAAAGGTGGTGACCAAAATGACTTACAATGAAAATTCCAGGCCCCATTGTGGCCATTAAGTGAGGACTATCTTTGAACCTGGAACAAAGAAAACAATCTTAAGAAAACCCATCCCTACCATTCCAGTTAAGCATGTTTGAAGAAATAAAGTATGCCTCTTACCCATAGTCATCAATCAGATGAGAGCCCAGAACTACAATATCCAGTTCAAAAAACTGTGGTTCTGCTTTAAGGCCAAACATGATTGGGGCCAATTTTGAATAATCTGCTCTGTTACATGTAGCAACACAAACCCGAAGTTTCCGGTTGTTTCCATTCTTCTCCATTACTTCCTTTTGTTTTTGCTTAGCAAGGGTCTTGAAATAAAGCTCCTGGAATATAATTATACAGGGATTAGTACACTAGGAACATGTAGAGTATATTGAATACGGTAATGGATTTAGCAATAGCAATAGCACTTAGACTTATATACTGCTTTACAGTATTCTATAGCCCTCTCTAAGTGGTTTTACAGTGTCAGCCTATTGCCTCCAACAATCTGGGTCCTCATTTTACCCACCTCAGAAGGATGGAAGGCTGAGTCAACCTTGAGCCTGGTGAGATTTGAACTGCCAAATTGCCGGCAGTCGGCAGGCAGCAGAAGTAGCCTGAAGTACTGCACTCTAACCACTGCACAACTAGATAAGAAATTAACTAAATTTGGGGCCAGAAATAAATTTTATATCCAATGTAAGTCAAAGAACTGTAATGACTCAGGAGTGGAGATTTCTCCCTAATAGATAATCAACTGGGACAGGCACCGTTTGGAACGACTGCAATCGAGAAGACCCTACATTCAGGAAAGTAGATATGCAAAGAAAAAAATCATGACACAATGCATTTAGAGGTAAAACTTAGTTAAATGGAATTTCATGAAATATTATTTGTTATATAACTACATGCGATTTTTCCCATACATAATTCTTGCACCAGTGATGGAGAAATACTTGCTCCACAATTCTCCTCCACACTTTTTAAACTATGAGCCACTTGAATATAATTAGACTAACTGAAGCTAAATTATACAGGATATAACTTAGAATTAGTACTTTCAGTAACACTAATGGATGAATCATAGCGAGCTGAGATCAAATTCACTTTAAAACCTCTAACCATTGAAATTTTAAAGTATGCTGCCTACAATATTTTTAAAGGTTTCCAAGTATTTCAAGTAATTGGTTCCAAGTACAGTAATGAATAGGGATTTTTCAGTAATCAGTTTATGAGTCCATCGAAAGCAGAAGGGGAAAAAGGAACTATTACTTGCTTATAAAACAATATATGATCAGTTGAAAAAGGAAATTTTGGAAAGAAGGTTAAATTACTCTCTAATTGGTTGATAGGATTATGTCAAGTCTCAGTTTTTTCTGCTACTGCTACAAAAAACTATATTTATTTTGTAAGGTGTTTTCTATTTTTAAAAAATACCTCTGTAATTATTTATCTGTCACTAAGGTTATTTCTCATGCTAAGTTTTTCTGAAATGAAAGGAAACAGCAACATAGAACTACTCATATTTGTGCTAGTTTATAGAAGAAAAAAGATTTATTCGTCAGTTCCCCACAAATAATAGAATACAGAATTCTCACATCCTACGCAGCAGGCCTCATTATATCACAGCTATTTGAATCAGATATAATTTTCTTTGTATAGCACAAATGCTTAAGATCTTTCTGGAGTATTAATTTTATTTTGAATTTATTTCTTTAAATTTGGAGAAAGGAGCTCCTCTAATCACAATTCAAATTTTTGTTGTACAGTATTAATATACAGAAATATCATTTTTGCTTTACCATGTGGAAAAGCAGCTATAAATTTGTAATAACTAAACAGCTTCCTACTATAGTCTATTAAAAAAACAACTTTTCAATCCTTTCAGTGAAGCAAAATTTTTAACATGCCAAATCTCCAATTTCTTGGTGTCTGCGTACAAGCCAAGACGGTAAGGATTTTTTCCTCTCACTCCTACACATTTCACTAATAATTATTCACTTTATTGAATTTATTAAGGCCTCCTAACTCCAAAATGTCTCTGGATGGCTTGACCCTGAAATAAAGGTAATGTTGTATATTTGAATAAACATGATCCAGATTCTGAAATGCCAGATGTTAACTGGCCAGCATTTATGATATAAAGTGCTTACACCAGAGTTCATGTAACTGAGAGGCAAGATTTATTTTCTCTTAAAGGGAAATAAAAATAACTAGAAAACAATTTTGGAAATCCAAAGATAATTTTTCCTACAATTAATACAAGAGTACTATAATTGTATAGCTAAATTATTGAGGTTTTATTCAAATAAAGAACATAAAAATCAGACATTTAATATTTTTCAGACTAATTCAGATCAGTTTTATTGATCTATTTTATAACAAATAAATGTGACAACAAGCTACAAGAACCAATTGTATATTGTAATTAGAATGGTGTCTTTCCTCAGAACAGTAATTAAAAGTAGAGAAAAATTCTTTTTTAATATCCAAAAGAACAACTTTCTATTAACAGTTAAGGCAGTCAAATTTGCTTCAATCATTTATTCCACTTTAATACAAAGAAACCTTACTTACCTCTGCTTTATTGTGAAAGTAAAGATTAAATATTAGCATTCAGTGAGATCTGCCTCAGATTAAGTCCATCTAAGTACCCATTGAGCAATTATTAACTCACAAATTACTGTTCTAGTATTATGTAGGTTTCTAATTAGATATATGCCAAATAATTAAATTAACCCTTTAAATAAGAAAGTATGTTAAAAATGTTTGGTCAATTTAAATGCTGAACGAGCAATGGAATGCAAAGTAGAACTCCAACAGCTTAGTAGGAAATTAAATTCTATAAAATAGCAAAACAATGGAAATAAAATATGAATACTTTCTGAACCTGTTTTTCACCCTTCATTTCATTTGGTTTTCCTAAGTGTCAGACATAATGTCTCTGCAGAAGGAAAATAAGGAGCACAGGATAGATTGAACACATGTATCACTTAATCTACTCCCGAATGCAACCATCACAGATCATGTTTTTTTCTGATTCAAATTGCTATTGATTTTTGTTATATATCTTACCTGACGTGTTTGGTTGCAATATTTTTTTCATTTGATTTAGAGAAAAACAACTTTAGAAACTATTTAGAAACTGCAATTGGTGCACATTTTTCAGACTTCAGTGTTTTACACTTAAATCAATTACACTGACTTCCAACTTGTTTAAAGACTAATTCGTAAGGATGGTGTTTACCTGTATCTTAGGGCCACTAATATTTGAAACAATAACTCCTCCCTGACTGCATCTGAAGTGAGGTTTTAAAAGTTTTAATTACCATAAAAAAATTAAAAGGTCTGGTTGATGGAATCCTGAATTGTTCCACAGCAGCACTGCAGTACTATACGCCCTAACCAAACCCCAAAATCTATCTCATGGGTGTCCAACCTTTTGGCTTGCTTTGGCTGCATTGAATGAAGAGGAATGATCTTGGGCCACATATACAGGTAATCCTTGATTTATGACCACAATTGAGCCCAACATTTCTATTGTTAAGTAAGACATTTATTACGTAAATTTTGCCCCATTTTACGACCTTTCTTGCCACATTTGTTAAGTGAATCATTTCAGTTGTTAATTTAGTAACAGGGTTGTTAAGTGAATCTGGCTTCCTCATTGACTTTGCTTGCCAGAAGGTCACAAAAGGGGATCACATGACCCTGGGATACTGCAAAGGTCATAAATATAAGACAGTTGCCAAGCCTTTGAATTTTGATCACATGACCACAGGAATGCCGCAATGGTCATAAGTGGTCATAAGTCACAAGTCACTTTTTTCAGTGCCACTGTAACTTTGAACAGTCGCTAAATGAACTGTTGTAAGACAAGGGCTACCAGTAAAATATATAATATTATAATATTAATGTATATAAATCACATGATGTTAAAAGTTTACCATCTTGTGAGGGCCACTTTACTAGTTGCCTAGGGTCAAATGTAGCCAATGAGCCGCAGCTTAGACATACCTACTCTAGATAGTTCACAATAAAAATTCATAAAACAAATCCAGCAACTTTCTCCCAAAACTCAGAATCAGCCTTATACTGTAATATAACCCTTAAAAAACTACATGAGTAACAGTAGAATCCAACCTAGCCCACTGTAACACAAAAAGGCACAATATTGTTGTCTCCAAATGACCAGCAGAAAATTATTTTAACACCTTCCCAAATGGGGGTGGGGGGTGGGTGGAGAAATGTCACCTTAACTTTGGTGGTATATGGAAGAAAAAGAGTTCTACAGAATTGGGGCAGCCACTAAGGACAACTGATCCCTATTTCCCAAACCTTGGAGACAAGAAACTAAAAGCATCTCCCACTAATAGGAGTATGATGGGCAGACTTAACTCAAAACCTTATTAGGATTTTACAATTTACAGTCCTGTGAATCTACTTAGAAACCTACTGGTAACTGATGAGCCACACACAATATTTGAATTCCATTGCTCTCAGATGCAAGCAGGTGGGTGCTGTACTGTGGGCCATTTGCCATTTCCAAGTATTTTTCAAAGGCTGTGGTGGAATTCTTTCAGAAAGGTGGGCAGTGAAAACACTGGATGCCTTTGAATTTGAAAGCAAAGATAACTGACTGGTTTTATTCCTCTCGTTTTACTCCACTGTACAATTTATGTTTTACATAAAAGCCCTGGGGGCTGAAAGGCAAAAACGGAAGCAGTATGCTCCGTCCCATAATTGAGTAGACCAGGTTGCCCTAATAGACCGGACTCCCACCAGAGAAAAAAACACTCCACTGTACACTTTTAACATTTTTGCTTTCCAGTCTACTTAGAAGTTCATGGGGATATCTATATAATTAAATGATTTTCCTAGTATCCTATATGAGCCCTAGACTCCACCCACCACAAATGGACAACTTCAGATTTTAAAACACTTTTTAAAAAATACAATAACCTGGTTAGTATCTTCATTTTGACAAATTTATCCTTACCAGGAAAATTTAAGCATTTATGAGCTTCAAGTTAATCTTATTTTTTTTTAAAAAAAAATAGTTTTAACTCGTCGGTTAAGAGCATTCTGTATTATGATAGATTCTATGATAGATTCAGTCAGCCATATACTTTTGTTTTGTTTGTATTTAATGTTTTACCTTTTTTATAAGTTTCTTTTTTTTAGATTTAAACATCTGCTTTTAAAATGTTTTTAACTTTGTGTATTTTATATTTTTTACCTTTTAAAATTATTTATATCCCACCCTTCTTATATTAGTCTAGGACTGTAATAAAAATTTGATTTACTGATCTGTGAGTTGCATGTTCATGAAGGTTAATTA